CATGTTCCGATAAGTTTTAAGCTATGTATCCATCATTAGCAATGATTTAACGGGGGTCATCCTAGGATAATCATTTAAAGATGCATTCGAGATGCTTCTCTAGTAATGAACCCCTGGGCTCAATTGTCTGCAATGATCAGATGTGTCGTGACTTATAGGGGGCGGGTCGAACCGCGCATATGTTCGCACGCCGTGGCGAACGCGAACATGCTATGTTGCCAGGAACCGTTCGCCGGCGAACCGTTCGGTACATCACTAATGTTAAACTGATAGATGAGACAGGCAAAGTTTAAAAGTGTCATAAAACATAAACACAAATGCCATGTTTAAATGTATGGATTTATCAGAACAATTTACTCCTTTCTTAACTAGCATAATGTAATAAGCTAAAAGGTGAATTAAGGTAAAATTTTATACTTTTGATTTTTGGGAAACAGATTTTACTGTGATTTTGAACCTTGATATGACCAATGTAAAGTGATATATATATATTATGTTATTGTGCATATTATAAATTTTAAAGATGATTTTTGTTTCAATGCAAAAAAAAAAATGTCCTGAAAGTTTCCGAAGGCATACATGTCAATGTAGACTATGCAATTACCATAATTTTTTATGCCTTATACTATTTCTGTAACTAATTGCCAAATACTTCTTTCTTCTGTATACGTACATGAAATTAGTTTTTGTCCCTGGATAGCAATCTAGGTAAGGACTTCTTGTTTTGCAATGATATTACGCATTCGTAACATTTATCCTATTAAAATACATATTACAAGTTACTTTCCATGACACAAACATGTTTTGGCAAATGTATCGATAACAAAGTACTTAGCATGCTGCACGTGTACTGAATGGTTATAACAACAGACCTTGCTGCAGTGACAATTTGTATTTGAACAGTTTTACCGTTAATAACTGGGTGCCCTGCCATTGTAATATCTAACAAGCTGACACGGTAGCTGCTTTTTCTTACATGTTATGATGTTAGTTTCCTGTATTCTAATGGTATTAATTTGTGATACCAAGGCCACATCTTGCAATTATAGATTTAAATGTTCACGCAGGGAATATTCTTTGTTCTTGGCTGCAATAATGTATCCACTATGCAAAGACTGTTTTCTCGTTTAACATTTTTAGTAAGGATTAATGTAATTGCTTTTAATGTGTTGCTTGCATATAGGGCAGACTATGTAGGTCAAGTCACTCTACATCTGTCTTTTGTTTGGGTAATTATTTGTGTATCTGTTAATCATGTGAACAAATCGTGTATTTTATTAGTTCTGCTGCATGCTGGGACTCTTTTCTTTGCATAGGGTTTCATGTAGTAGCAGTAGAAAAAAATGTCAGTCCCCCACCAGGGGAACACCAGCAACACAGCCTAAGTCTAATGTAAATATAACTTGAGAAACATGTGTCGTTTCCAAGGAATCACAGAGCTATTTGTGCAAATAAATGGAAACACAGGAAGAGATGTGTGACGAGACCAATCTCGCCACATTGCATTGGAATAGCCTGGTTGCCCGCCTGTTGCCTCTGGACTATGGCCCCATGGTAAACCTTGTATTTTCACTTGCAGAAAGGCTTGTTCATGCCTTTCTGCCAGGGTGTTCGGTAGATTCAATGTACCGAACAAACACACAAATGACTGGACCACCTGGGAGCTGGAGTATGCCATCAATTGACCTCCCAGAAGCTGCGGTTAACCGCAGCTTAATTGACAAATGCTGGGTGGCCTTTGTTCATTTACCGAACACGTGGCGGCGGCCATTTTAAAGTCCCCAACGGCCAGCGGTGTTCAGCGCCCAAACTATGTAACTAGAAACGGACACTTATTTGCGCGAACTCCGCTGAGCCGTCAGCCTCCTTGCTTCTGCATTCGGTCATTTAACCGAATACCTGTTCATTCGGTAGTTTAACTGTATGAACAGCATCACCCCAGATAGCCATGTCATGGAGCCTATTTGTGTAACAAAAGACTATGTGAAAGACTTTGGCTCCATGGCGATTGAACTGTATGTATGTGATCTGAGTGCCATTCGGTAATAATGTGCACTCAGATCTAAGCTATCTGGGGACAGGTAGAATGTATATGTTTTATTCATTATTTGCAACATTGTGTATTTTTGTGTCTTTTTACTTACATGTGCTCAATGGAGTTTTGCCTCTGTCCTTGGAGATAATTGGATTACTTCCCAATTATCTCCAGGATAGAGGGGAGGGATTGTAATCTACTGTGGGAGTGTTTTAATCCTGCATGCCTGTGATTGGTCATTTTACCATTTGTGTTCCAGTCTTCCATCTGGTTCCCTAGAGGAGTGTCCACCAGGTGGAAGACCTGCATAAATACCGGGCAGGTAGCCCTCAATAAACCAGACCACTGCTTAACCCTCAACACGGAGCCTTGTCTCCTCCTTGGGGGGGGGGATTTACTGTATGTTGTTAGAGACTGATTGCTAGGAGTGTAAACAGCTTGGGTGCTTTTACGATTCGTCTGCTTGCAGCTATTCGTAAGGTTCCAGTTTGGGAGTTTGGAGTGCTATTTTGTATGCAGTTCGGGAGTTTGGAGCATTCCCTTGTATTCAGTTCGGGAGTTTGGTGTTCTGCAATAGCTGTGCCTGTATCTCTGGAAGAGGAAGATCTTCTAAACGGCGTTTAACCCCTTTTATGCTGGGGGTGCCGCTACAAGATGTAAACAGTGAAACGTGTCAGGAGAAAAATACATATTTTTTTTAAATCACATACATTAGGGGCAATAAATTAGATAAATAAAAATGGTCAAATAGCCTGCTTATAGGAATTTGTAAGGACCCTGAAGGTATTATTAGTAGTACAGCTTACTGAAAATGGTGAACAGAATGTAAAAAGAATGTTTGCATTAGAGTATAATGCCCACATACAGTAAAAAAACAGCTATAATAAAAGGTATTTAAAAAGGTTTTATAGTAATCTCTCTAATGGTAATGTAATTCTCAGAAACATAAAAACAAATAGAAGAACTCATTCACTTGTCCCAAATCCTGACGATAGGAATGGTTTGATTTTTGTAGTTTCTTTACTGTTTGGAAGATGAGGGGGCAGTCATTTTGAGGATATTTGCCGAATTAGATTTATTATTTTTAGATACGCTTTTCAAATTATTAAAAAAGTTTTTATAAACTTTGAAAATATATAAAAAACATATAAATATATAAAAAAATCAAGTATAAAGATATTACAATGTTTTTCAAAATAGTACATTATTTAAAAGTTTATAAAAAAATATCGAATCATTTGAATTGTTTAAAAAACTGATTTAAAAATATTAAATCAAGGTGTAAATTAGTAGAATGGTCTACTGGCAGAGAAATTTACAAGCTGATAATCATTCCTGAAATATAAATAAAGGTAAGTGAGACTTAATTGGCAAAGCAAATGAAAGTACAAAAACCATGTACGAGATTTGGTATTAAAGATGTTAATTCTGTGACCATGAACTCACATAGCCGCACAGTTAAAACAATCTTCAAATTATATCAAAAATATGACATTGCTAGAATTCCCAAAGAGAAAAAAAAATAACATAAAAGAAATCAAAGTTTTGAAAAGTTTATTTAAACATTTGACAAAATCATGTGCAAGAGGCCACAAATACATTTTAAATAAACTTAAACGGTATATGACATTATTAATTTAGGTTGTATCTTTAAATGACTCTAGGGTTTGAGTTCCTGTAGATTGGGTACCCACAGTTGGCAACTAGGTTGCTAAGGCTTTCTAACTGGCCTCCAGTATCAATTGTAAAGCACTTATTATTGACTGTTATTGAATAATAGTTTGTGAGACATAGTTTCCTATGAACTTGAACTCACGGTAGAAATTGACTAGTTACCATGTCTTCTAGATGTATTATCAAATGAGTTACACTAATTGTGGTGAATGGAGACCAAGAGGCTAGGGGGATGAAACCCTCATAAAATCTTTAAAAGATTAAAGATCCCCCAGTCATGATTGTAGAGCTTTTACAATCTTATGTTTTAGTGTTTAAGAAAGATAATAAAAAATAAACATTTTAACACTCCATTTATCCTTTAAAACAAATCAATTTCAGCAAAGAAAATGCAAATATTTTAGTGGAAAGACCTTTATTAACCCTTTAGTGACCAGACCGCTTTTCAATTTTCTTACCGTTTGGGACCAGGGCTGTTTTTAAATTTTTGCGGTGTTTCTAATTTTCATATTACTTATTTACTGTACCAACACATATTATATATTGTCTCACCATTAAATGGTCTTTCTAAAGATACCATTATTTTCATCATATCATATAATTTACTATAAAAAATTTTTATAAAATATAATGAATACAATGTAAAAAAACGCATTTTTTTTTTAACTTTGACCTCCAAAATCTGTTACACACCTACAACCGCCAAAAAATACCCATGCTGAATAGTTTTTAAATTTTGTCCTGAGTTTAGAAATACCCAATGTTAACATGTTCTTAGCTTTTTTTGGAAAGTTATAGGGCATTTTTCTTCAAAATGAACGCAAGTTACATTGTAACACTGATATCCGTCAGGAATCCCTTAATAGCCCTTCACATGTATATATTTTTTTAAAAGAAGACAACCGAAGGTATTAAACTTGGGGTATTTTGACTCTTTTCATGCAACAATTTTACCCCAAATAAATGCCCAATTTAAGAAGAAACCGAACTTGACCACGTACTTGACCCCGAACCCCATTGAAGTCAATGGGGACCTGAACTTTTGGCCACAAAAATGCCTCTAAAAAAACTCCTGGAAAGGGCTCGAGAGCTGCAAAAGGAATTAAAATGGGGGTAAGAGTAGGACAAGTGCCCTGCAAACAAATGTGGAAAGGGAAATCACTTAAAATAACATAAAAATTTAAAATACAGCTGAGCCATAAAATAGCACTAGATGGAATCTTTGATTTTAGCTTTGGAAGAACATAAATCAAAATCTAAATCTAAGTGACCCATATGTTGAGGAGGTGGTGACCATGGCGGTGTAGGTGGAAGCAGCGGTGGAGGAGGAGGATGAGGTAGCCAACACTGTTTTTTATGTTATTTTTTTTTTTTTAATTGTGGTAGCCCCCAAAATATTGGGACATATAAAAAAGACAACGCAGTTCTGCAGAGTAGCTGTTGACATTATAGTTGCGCAGGCACTTTGTTGACTCTAGAGAACCTCGGGCCAATCGCACATCCCCGTGACGCCAACTTTGCATTCGGATATCATCCATATCAACTTTTGATGCCAGTTTCTGTGCCTTCCATGGTGACCACAGATAATGGGAAATCAGGGGTCCATTCAGTACAAGGACCCTAAGAAACGGCTACCACATGCAAGGAATGCAGCAGGCGTGCAAATGACCCACTCCCGACGTGGGAAGGTAGTGATGACAAATAACAATACAGGACTCTTTAGAGGCCCTGTAATTGTAATGAGTCCACTTGAAATCCTTTAACTCTGATCAATTGGAGGGAAGTCTGGTGCAGAGCCACTGACCCGTGCGTGCTGCAGCTGAAACTCCACTATCGCCTGCTGCTGCTCGCACAGTCTCATGAGGCGGTGAGTGGGAAAGCCAAAGTTACGCTGCAGCGCAGACAGGTGAGCAGCAGCAGGGTGAGAACGCCAAAAGCGCGCACAGCCGCTACAGTGAATGTCACATCCTGTTCCAAGTTGCGGATCAGTCTGGTGATGGCTTCTGGTATCCAGTACTCTTTTTACTGAAACTGCGTCAAGGTCCTGGTATGTGGCCGCACAAACGCTGGTGCTTAACACCAGGGGGCGTGTGGTTACCCTGCACCAGACCCTGCTAATCCATTCCACACTGTGACGCCTAACTTCAACATCAGGCATACTGGGTCCCGGTCGTCCGACCGCCGCCCAGACAGTGTCTGGGTCCTGGTCACTGGACTGCCCACCTCACTGTGAAACTACGAATGGATTGTTAAATCTGGTACGAACCCGAACTTTGCAGTTCGGGTTCACTCAACTCTATTATGGATCCTTTCATCGCTACATGTATTACTTGAATAACAGGTAATTCCCAAGCTAATATATGCCGACGAGCGCTATGGGACGGACGCTCAGCTTTTGCACCCTGCTCCCTTTATGCTGTGCTGGTGCCTCTGTGCGACTAGCGCCTCTTCCTCTAAACTGCACACGTCACTCGCATGACTTTGATTCCATGTGGGGTCTAGGACCTCATCATCCTCCACATCATCTTCCACCCACTCCTCAACCCTGCCCTTCTTACCAGTATGCACACTGCAGAAAGCCACAGCAGTTGGCACCTGTGTTTTTCCAGCATGTAAAGTCTGCAAAGGACATGTGGAAATTGTTTTAGAATTGTATTCAGGCAACAGTTTTCCCTATAAACTGACCTCTCAGTTTGACTTGTGAGGGTATTACCCCAGAATTACAATATTGTTTAAGTACCTCTTAGCTATTGATAACTGGTTTAAATATAGCAGCTTGTTATCTGGTAGTTATTTCTAGAAAATATCAATCTGTTTTCTATCACTTAGATCTGTGTAACAAGTGTTGTAGGTGTGAAACAATATTACAAGTGACCGATGTAGTAAATTCGAATCAAAGTTCCATTTGCAAAAAAAATTCTTGCCCATTTTCTGTGGGTTATTGCATTTTTAAGATGTAGACTTATTGTATCACACTAGCCATGCACAGATAGATTGTCTGGCACGTTGTTTTAGTGTTTGTTTTTTTCTTCGTTTTGACTCTCAGATATGAAGTGCAGTCCGCAAATGTACTATTTAGCAGATTAGCACCCAGAAAATAAGAATGTTTACCACTGCGCTGTAAGCACACTATTAGACGCTTCTATTTGACTCTCAGATATGAAGTGCACCCCACTAAAATACTATTTAGCAGTTTAGCACCCAAACATTTTTAAGTTTTAAAACTGCAATGTGACAGCAGTATTTGATGCTTATATTTGACTCTCAGATATGAAGTGCACCCCACTAATGTACTATCCCACTAATGTACTATTTAGCACCAAAAAAAAAAAATTACTTTTTAAAACTCCAATGTAACCGCGGTATTTGAAGCTTCTATTTGACTCTCAGATATGAAGAGCACCCCACTAATGTACTAGTTTGCATAATTCTTTCCTAAGCTGTCCCTATAAGCGGCAGCATCCCTACACTAATAAGACCCCATGTGCGTGCAGCGCTACGTGACTCCAGCTTATATATAGAGGCTGGGTCACATGCTGCACTGGCCAATCACAGCCATGCCATTAGTAGGCATGGCTGTGATGGCTTCTAAGGGCAGACGAGTCAAAAAGCCTTTGAAAACGCGCCATTAAATCGCCGAACACCGAACTCCAACCCGAACATACAGTGATATGTCTGTGTTCGGTTCCGGGGTCCAAAAAACCTAATGTTCGGTACGAACCCGAACTATACAGTTCGGGTTCGCTCAACTCTAGTAGCCACTTAGTCACAAACACTGGCCAATTTTATAATTGATATTTGTTTGTGTGTTAAAAATGCAAAAAACCCATAATGAATGCTAACTTTGGCCAGTGTTTGTGACTAAGTGGCTACTAAAAAAGACTGAACATACTGAACATGCAATACCTTGGGTTGTCTTCTTTTGCAAATTGTATGCCATCATGGGGGTAATTCTCATTCCTTGGTTAACATATCCTCTCAAAGGCAACATAACCAATCTGGCAAATTTCAATTTGAAAAAACAGCCTTATATTTGACAGTATAAAACCTGTACATGGGGGGTACCGTTATACCCTCTGAACACAAATATTAGTGTTTCAAAACAGTAAAATGTATTACAACAATGATATCATCAGTGAAAGTGCCGTTTGTCTGTGAAAAATGCAAACAACGTCACTTTCACTGACAATATCATCACTGTGATTTGTTTTACTGTTTTGAAACACTAATATTTGTGTTCAGCAAAGTCTACCGAGTAAAACAGTACCAGTAAAATTACTTCATTATGTAAAAACATTACATAAATATGCACATTTAAATGTAGATACAGTGCCTTGCAAAAGTATTCACCCCCCTTGGCATTTTTCGTGTTTTGTTTCCTCACAACCTAGAATTAAAGGACCACTATAGTGCCCTGAGGGTGCCCCCACCTTCAGGGTCCCACTCCCGCTGCGCTGAAGGGGGAGGAAGGGGGTTAATCCCTTGCCTTTTTTCCAGCGCCAGGCTCCCTCGGCGCTGGGACTCTCCTCCCTCTTCTGACGTCATCGGTTGAATGCGCATGCGCGGCAAGAGCCATGCGCGCATTCAGCCAGTCCATAGGAAAGCATTCTCCACTAGCGGCTGGATTAACCCAAAGGTAAACATAGCAGATGGACCTGGCACCCAGACCACTTCATTAAGCTGAAGTGGTCTGGGTGCCTAGAGTGGTCCTTTAACATGGATTGTTTGAGGATTTGCATCATTTAATTTAAAGAACATGCCCACAACTTTGAAGATGTTTTTTTTTCTTTTATTGTGAAGCAAGCAACAAATAGGACAAAACAATGTGCATAACTATTCACCCCCTAAAGTCAATACTTTGTAGAGCCACCTTTTGCAGCAATCACAGCTCCAAGTCGCTTTGGATACGTCTCTATGAGCTTGCCACATCTTACGACTAGGATTTTTGCCTATTTTTCCTTACAAATCTGCTCCAGCTCCTTCAAGTTGGATGGTTTGCGCTTGTGAACAGCAATCTTTAAGTCTGACCAGAGATTTTATATTGGATTGAGGTCTGGGCTTTGACAAGGCCATTCCAACACATTTACATGTTTCCTCTTAAACCACTCAAGTGTTGCTTTAGCAGTGCATTTGGGGTCATTGTCCTGCTGGAAGGTGAACCTCCATCCTAGCCTCAAATCACGCAGAGTGGTATAGGTTTTGCTCATGAATTTTCCTGTATTTAGCACCATCCATCTTTCCCTCAGCTCTGACCAGTTTCCCAGTCATCCCGACTGCTGAAAAACATCTCCACAGCATGATGCTGCCACCATCATGTTTCACTGTGGGGATAGTGTTCTTTGGGTGATGTGATGTGTTGGGTTTGCGCCAGACATAGCGTTTTCTTTGATGGCCAAAAAGTTTAATTTTTCCTCCATACATTTTGGGAGTCTCCCACATGCCTTTTCGCCAACTCAAAACGTGACATTTTGTTTTTTTTGCTAAAAGTAATGACTTTCTTCTGGCCCCTCTGCCATAAGGCCGACTCTTGGCAGGTTTGCTGTTGTGCCATGTTCTTTCCATTTGGTTATGATAGATTTGATGTTGCTCCTGGGGATCATCAAAGATTTGGATATTTTTTTATAACCTAACCCTGACTTGTACTTCTCAACAACATTGTCCCTTACTTGTTTGGAGAGTTTCTTGGTCTTCAGTGTTTGGTTAGTGGTGCCTCTTGCTTAGGTGTTGCAGCCTCTGGGGCCTTTCAAAAAAGGTGTGTATATGTAATGACAGATCATGTGACACTTAGATTGCACACAGGTGGACATAATTTCACTAATTATGTGACTTCTGAAGGTAATTGGTTGCACCAGAGCTTTTTATGGGCTTCATAACAAAGTGGGTGAATACATACGCACATGCCAATTTTCTGTTTTCTATTTTTAAAAAATAGTTTTATGTATATATTTTTCTCATTTCACTTCACCAACTATCATTCTAAGTCTATATATATTAATATCAAAATACAGTTATATATATACTGTATATAGTTTTTTTTTTTTTCAATGTATATCTTTATTGTTTTATAAAGAGGTAACAATAGAGGGGTCAGACTCCTCATATAACACAATACATTACAGCATAGTACAAAAACACACAAATAAGAGAAAAGAAAAGAGTAAATTACGGTAATAACATGTACAGTAGCCTTATTATCACGTTGTGCTTTATACATAGCTTATATAAGTATACCATCATGAAGGAAGGTGCTGTCTGGCGCATTGGATACATACATACATACATACATATGGGGATACACAGGCAATTATTTCTATCGATGTAGCCTGGAAAGTTCGATAGTTGTCACCATATTTTATACATGACTGAACTGAGTCGCTTTCCCTTCTGCATCAGTATTATCCGCCTGGTGTACAAACCAAGTATTCAATAACAGGGTAGCAAATATGAGGGCATAGCATTGAGAAAAAGGAAAAACACAACTGTGAAAGCAATGCAGGGATAGCTCGGCCAGTTTGGGTAGAGTACGTAGTATCGCCAATATTGGTAACTGATAGACCAGGTGGTCTTGCCATGTGTTGTGGTATTGTGAGGGTTTATAGATAATTGGCTAAGGTTATGCATTGTACCTGAGATCTCCATGTCCAATGGTGTGGACATAACACTCTAAACAATCTTGCTACTCCGTAGTAAAT